TGCACGACACATTTTGGAGAAATCAGACCATAAAGTATTATCCTACTGTACCTTGTTTTTATTTTGCATTAGGTTTTATACGTATATATTTATAAGAAAACAAAATTCTGCATACCTTTTATTTTTACCAATTTATTTTACATTTATTTTTCATATAAAATGTTTTCAGTATATTTTTAACAACATTGTCTTTCAAAATATTGTAGGCAAGGACACCAACCTTCCTAATTTTGACTGTTATACTGATGTTTTATTTTGAATTAGTACTTAATTATTACACTTATTATTACACTTATTTACAATGCAAATGATTGTATTGTAATAATTGATTGTTTAATATTTCACAATTAATTGTAATGTTAATTATTTACTATTAGAAAGAGCTGTTCATTCATATATTTTTGTATAATCATTCTTCACTCTTTATTTTTATGTAGTGTTCCAAACATCCCTTTAAAAACTATTTTAAAGCGAGAGACAATTTGACAGATTGATAAACAGATGTTTTCCTTGCTGCACAGTATCTCAGATTCTTTATCTTAACATTTGCAACAGAACAGCAGGACACGGAGGAGCAAATGAGTGACAAAGACAAGTAAAAGTCTTTAAACTTTGAGGCACCGTGAAAATTATTAACGCTAGACAATACCTTTCTGTCCATGAGCAGACACTATGCAATGGCTCTGCACTACTTAAAAGAGTTTGAGAGCAGAAAGGCTCTGCCTGGTAAGATGCCGATCACATGAAATACTGTTGATTAGATCTCAGTCAAGGGACTGTCTTGAACAGCAGACACTCAGTCGCAGAAAGAACCGGAGCTACTGTGAGCTGTGATTCACAACTACACACTACAGGGGAACCAGATGTTGTTCCACTTCCAGTAATAGCGCATTATCTGTGAATTAGACATGAATGATAAGTTAGAATGAGATATGTGTTCAGTTTAACAGTTCAGTCACAGGAAATAGAATTCACAAATTATTTTGTGTTCCTAAACCAGCATGGAACCTAAATAACACAATAACCCATTGGTTGGGATGAAAAAGTCATTTAAAAACCTCTCAAAGAAATTATAGGAGACTAATCTTCAAGATGCACAATTTTATTTTCCCTAGTTAAACTGTAGTGTATTGTTAATATATTAATATAAATATTAAACATTTTGTTCATATTTATATCAGGTTAAATAATGGATGTGTGCCAGACAGTTTTCAGAAATAATAAAATGCCTCAGTTCCACAGTCAGATCAGATCTAGTAAGTGGTCACAGTTTATTTAGGAAAGTCTTACAGTAAGTCTTAGGTAAGTCCTGTAAGTCTTGTGTTAGTTCTTCTAGCCTTAACATTAGACCTTTTGTATAAAGGTGGACTACATACTGTACTTAGCCCTAGCCCTATGAATGTAATAAATACCTACAGTAATCCACACCCTTCGTGTTTACTAGTATTCAACAAGCTTGGTGTAACGTACAGTAGTACCTTAGCTAGATTACAAGGGACTCCTAAAATAATGCACTGTCTAATCATTTTAATTTATGATGTGTTGGTCAAACTTCAGAATACTTTCCATTTATAAACAGGTATTACTGCTGCTGTACTATTATTATTCCTGCTGTACACTTAGTGGATTGCTACTAAATTCATAACACATATTAATCTCTTATAGCTCAGAAATGTAATTAGTAACAAAAACACCTTTATACAGGGGCTGTTCATTTAAATGTTCAGTCGTACATCAGTGAAACATCACTATCTCATGCCTTATAGGAGATTCTAAAAAGTAAAGAGTTACTTAACTATCTATTTAATATGTATAAGCCTTCAGTGACACTTAATATAAAGTTTTATTAGGGGTTTTCTTTTAAACTGCATGATTAGACTTGCTCTCTATTTCTCTTGCTTTCCTGCCCTTGAACAGGTGTGGTTCTCTGAAACCCACGCTCTTCCCCTGCTAAGCAAATCAGCCCAGCCGCGCTCGGCTCAGATTGACCCCGGGGTATTTGTGGCTATGAAATCGCAAGATGTGGCGAGAAACTGAAGCTGCTGCTGGGAGGATTACCATAGACAGGATGAGCCCTGCAGCTGGGTCAGGCCAGGACAGCCCAGATGGAGAAGAGTCTCCAGGGGCTCCTCTCCCTCTAACACTGCTGTCTGCATCATAACACGAGGGCTGGGTTTAACTGTCTTCTACCTTCTCTGAGAGTCTGTCTCTCTTTCTCTGGCACCTATAACAGCTTACAGGCCCCTTTTAAAGACTCTAGACAATTAATAATATTCATGTGGACTAATTACTCTACTGCAGTGTAACAAAACAAAGTCACACTTAGATGGGGACTGAAAGAAACACTGAATCTACTTGCTGGTTAGAAGCTGCTGTCCAGGGTCTGACTGCTGACTCTTCAGTGTTTACACTCTGCAGCTGATAGTTTGTGCTCTGTCCTCTCATCTTTGAGACGATCAATAAGACTGATGGGACAGCTGATCTACAGTATATTCCAGGTCTTGCAAAGGTAAATCTGACCTGACAAACATTGGGCTGTCTTGTCCATTTCAATTCTGTGACCCAGGACAGTGAGGGCCTTGTTTCAGGAATCACTAAACTCTCTAGTATTATTGCTTTAGATCATAATATTCACCATGTCTATCATTATTTTGTGTAACAAAGAAACATTCATGGTGTTCTGCTGTACAAACATTTAAACAAACATTTAAACTATACCAATCAAGAATAAATGTACAAAAATGCAACCTGTAAATGAATAACAATACAATTTCACTAGGAACAACATCATCCAAGAATGCTTGAATGTTTTGTGAATGTTTGGAATACTTGGTGAGAAAGGTTTAGCTTGACCTGCATGGTTAATGGGCAGCCTCCAAGCCTCAGGACAAGGAGGCTCGAACCCCATTCAGACTGAGTGAGCCAGGGGCAACTGCAAGGTGGAGATGATGTGGAGGAGGGATGCTTGAGATGAATGTGGAGGAGGATGTTGAATTTAGTACTGTATATGTAACTAATTTCATAATAGCGGTGATTAGGTACAGCTGGGTGAGATTGTCTTGTCGTTGTTATCCCTTCCGAAATTGAAGTTGTTTAAAAAACAGTTTCCAGTCTGGATTTGACAGTGCTGTTGGCAGATCCCTGGAAAGTACATTCCCCTCTGAGCAGCAGCAGTGACAGCTGTCCTTGACTTTGACTTGGATGGACCTCCCAGATTTGGATTATGGACTGTGCCCTGGTTTGCTTATTTGGACTGTGTTGCACTTGTTCATCTGCGCCACGCCCCCAGAGCACAGGATCACAGCTGTCATGCCGTCACGCCCCCCTGTCTGTCATCCCTTCCTGTTTCCCCTGATGTCCTACACCAGTCACATCCGGATTATACCATCTGCATAGAGTCCTAAACAACACATTCAGGAGTCAGAACTGGCTCCCATTACAGAAACAAGAGGAAAGATGTTAAAACAGCTTGCCTGTTCATAGCGTTTAGAGCTTGCTCAAGGCTGTGCAGTCGAACGCTGGACACACTGCTATGCATTTGAGGCCATGCTTAGATACTCTCACAGATACTTCCATGGTCTTCTCTGAGTCAGACAGGCATGTGGTGTGCAGTATATTAACTGCAGCTTGGATCTCTGGATCAGATTGATGTGGGCTCAGATCTCAGGTGGAGACAGCAGTTGTAAACTTGAGCAAGACCATTCATACATATTGCTGTAGTTAGCTCTGCCATATACTGTAAACAGCTCTCCGGGTGGTCATTGTAACTCATCCTGTTATGGAAATGGTAATGTTCAAAAAATAAATTGCAGATAAAGTTCAATAGAGGTTTTACTAACATTTTCCAATGTTTCACAAACCTTGAAAATGACACCAATTGGCAATTTGTTTCACCTATAAAAAGCAATATTTCAAAATTATACCTACCTCATCTGGTTTCTCTTGACGGTCAGTCTGAAATATTAAGGTATAATATAAGAGGGATGATGAATATTCAGTAACCTCACTGTTGGAAGACTTTTCTGTTGAAGAACATTTTATAGTATGCATTGTATTGTATGTATTTTATTGTATGCATTTTGAAATATAATCATAATCACATTTGAGTGCACTCACATCTACCAGCATACTGACCACTGATGATGCCATATGGTAGCTAGCACTGCTGTCTCACAGTTACTGGGTCCTGGGTTTGATGCTTGACTTGGGCACTTTCTGTGTGGAGTTTGCATGTTCTCCTTGTGTCTGCATGGTTTTCTCCAGGTGTTCTGGTTTCCTCCAGCCTCTTTCATAGTTAATTTGTGTCCATAAAATGTCCATATGTTCTTATATGTGTGTCAATGTCCTGATTTTGACCGATTCAAAAGTATCAACGGTGGCACTGAGATCTCAGAGAAGAAGACAAGTACCTGGTGTCTCGGGCCAGGTAATTTTGAGAAACCGTTTGAGACTCCTGGTGAGAACTGCTTCTGTTCCTGTGCAATGACTCAACACAGGACTGAGAGGTTCTGAAGAACTTCCAGGTCAGTCTTGTGAGTGCAACAGTAGAGTGTTACAGTGAGACACCTCAGAGTAACAGTGAGACGCCAGAGTATAATGGTGGGACTCCTGAGGGTAACAGTGAAAACCTGGAGTGGAATGGTAGAACCCCTGGGAGTAGGAGCCAAAGGGCTAACCCTTTTATTTGTATTGTTCTTATGTTCTTGTTCAATCTGAAACACCAACAGTAACAGAGGCTTGATGCTGACGAGTGCTGGGCCTGACTCTCAGAGAGGCAGCTGTGAGCCTGCAGTGAGCTCACTATAAGGGTTGTAGCCCTGCTCTGTCAGGATCATGAACCGCCTTCTTTATGATTCTTAACCTGAACTTCACTGGTTCTTTTACATACACTTTCAGCAGACTGCTGGCCGAATATAAATAATTCACAATTAAATCAGAACAATATGCATCTACAGGGTGCAAAAACAGTTTTCATAATAAAGATCAGGACTCAAAATATGTATGATTCAAAAACTCTTTATTACTATTATTTTTCTCTCACTAATGGCTCTTACAGCAGGGTTAAAAAACACACATGGACAGCAGGTGATGGAGGAGCACACTCCTTCTAAGACACTGCTAACAGAAAACATGCCTGAGTACTAAGTGGCCCAACGAGGATACAGTCAGGGAGACAAAGCTAAGAATACAACACAACCATCAGCAATTCTGTGCAGGACACGCGGAGAAGCTGGCGGTGCACTCTGGGCTACTCTGTGCACTCAGATTTATTCAGTATCTTTGTGACAGTAGCCTGGGACCCTTGGCTGGCCTCGCAGGTCACGGAGTGCAGCGATTTCCAATCGGCCTCGGACAGCGTCAGGGTGCTGCTCCAGCTGTAGGTGCCGTCGCTCTCCAGGAACCCGGGGGTCTTGGTGACGTCGCTGCTCCTGGAGTTGCCGTCGACCTTCCACTGCAGGCTCCAGTCGAATGGGAAGCCCTTGTTGGCCAGACACAGCAGCTTGACGTCTTTCAAGGCTACATCCGTGCTCGCGGACGACAGGATAGACAGAGACGGCTGAGCGTTACCTGGAAGAAACATATAACAAATGAGATCAGAGAGACTTTCACAACTGACCAACTGTAGGAACTTCTCACACGGACCAACAGGGCCAGAACAAGAATCTAAAGTGCCACATAAACGGAGGAAATAACCCAGTGGGCATTGATTTGTCGAATATACGTATATTCACGGCGAAAATACGGCTATACGTATATATACGTCGCCTCGACGTATAATCAACGTCGAATTGCAACCGTAAAATCGACGACATTAAAAAACGCATATATAACGTTGAAAACACATCTAACACAGTGCCTGAGGCTTTTTACTGTATGTATCGTGTGTGCCGCAACTAGGAGTATACGGCACTCTGCACAGTGTACGAAGTAAATTATTTTCGCAGTAATTAATTTA